TTTTTAAAAATTAATTATTAAATTTAATATTTCATTAATATAAATCATGTATATCAATTTTTAAATTAATTTCATATATATTTATAATTATTTTAAATCAATTTTCATGCATTTTGATATATTAATCTGTAATGCATCAAATATGTAAAAAGACAGAACAATTTTAAAGAAAAAAAAAGGAAGATTCCCGGGCCTGCAATTTAGTTTAAAATTTAACTAAATTTATTGTCTACGTTGTGCCTAAAATGAAAACAATGTTAATTTGTTGTTTGGTACATATCCCACATTGTTCTTGGGCGGCCTCATTGTTGGAAAATAATAAAAAATTAGTTTGGTCCCGGATTTTAATACTACTTATGCAATCTCATTTTTCCACTACAAATAGTGGCTCATCTCAAATGTAAAATCTGGGCAATCAATACTTTAGCCCACAAAAGCAAAAAAAAGGGGGTCAAATTAAGGTGGCCAATTCCAAAGCAACAATGTTGTTTAACTTATTCTCTTGCTCTCTTTTCTTCTCATTTTCAACATGGCTGAGAGCAATCTATTTGACCGAAAGTTCTTTTTTCATCTTAAAGAAAAATTATATTTTCTTGGGGTCCGTAGATGATAAATTTTAGCTTGGTGTTTATTAAAGGTGTGCTTTAGAAGGTGAAAAAATCGACTCCGTTTTCTGTGTCGGTGTACGGTGCTCAGGATGGTGATTCCTGTTTTAGCGTTGCTCAAGAGTTCAATATTCTAACTTCGGATTTCTTCAGCCAGCTCAATCCCAATCTTAACTGTGACCAGATTTTCAGCGGTGAATGGCTCTGTGTGAATGGTTTCTGAATTAAGTTCCATTGAAGATGGAGCGGAGGAAACTGAAGTATGCAAAAATGCTTGAGTAAAACGTTATGACAATGCCTTTGCAATGTTGTTGTGGTTAATTTCGTACTTAGCTGTTCCATGTTTTGGATATGACATGCATCTTCATCTTGTGAAAGAAATGATCAATAAAATTTCATTTACTAAAATGTTAATTATTTGGTGTTCACAACCTCATTAAATATAATATTTTCCCTTTTATCGAAAAATAAATAAATAAATATGAAATCACTTAAATTTAATGACTTAATCTCTGTTGCAAAGTCATGTAAAACTACTGTATGTTACTAGAACTTTTGTAGTTGAAATTGAAGATTGTTAATAATTGAATTTGGATGGATATCATGTGCACTAAATGAATTCATTTACATCCTTTTCCCTTCATCACATGCATATTTGTTTGGTTCATGTACTCACAACATAATGATTGTTGGCTAGGCAGAACAGAGTAGATGATCAATTTGTATTTTTTTGCCTTTCACACAATTGATATCGAATATTTGTTTTCATTTTACTTTTTTGGCCACAAATTTTGCTTTTATTTCTCGTTCATTAAACTGATTTTTTGGAGAAAATTTCAAGTAATTATCTTGTAGATTGATAAATCACTTGAGATAATGGAGGAAACTATACATATAGTTTTTGGATTTACAAAATATTAAGTTTTTTATTGATAACTGAGTTAAGTTACATTACCATATTTTTTTAGTTTACGAAATTTTTATATACATAGTCTTGTGTGACAACCAAATTAAGAAAAAGAAAAATGACAATCAATATATGGGTGCAATTTAATTGTTTTTTCTAGGTTGATTCTTGATGCTAGATATGAATTATATTAGTCTTTCTCATTTCTCATATCACAATTGTTGTAACAGCCCTTGTAAACAACATAAGGGTATCTTTATGAATGGTAGAGTATTTAATTGTAGTTCCTATAATTTTATTATTGTATTATTTTTAACTAGTTTATATATCTCTTTTAAGAGCGAAATATCTTGTAAGTATGAAATAATAATTACATTGTGAATTAGCGCTTAGTTTCAAATAAATGAAGACAATATTATAATACTTAAAAACTTTTTATCAACAAAGAAAAATTTTATTATGTAGAGTACAAATGATACTCTAACCATATTAACATCAAAATGATATTTTGTTAGTATTGGTCAGTTGCCTAAGTACCCATATTATTTCATCTAAAGTGGTAATCCTCCACTCAAAATATCAAATAACACAATATCAAATTATTTATATGATCATTATGTAAATTAAAAAAAAACTCAACATTTATTTAATTTTGAAACTAGAGTAATTAAACTCCAAAGTGTTTTTTTCTTTTTCTTTTTCGTTTAAGCAAAAGAGAAGTTTAGTAAAATGTTCTTAAAGAAGTACAATTTTCAGGAAATTTCACAGTGGGGAGCTTGAAATTTTCCAAAAGAAATGAATAACATGTAAAGGGTATGTTAGGTATAATATTGTAGATAATTGTCAAATCAATTCGATATCATATTAATTTTAAGAATTTTGCTAAAACTTTATGTTACAGAAAGAATTTTAAGAATATTCAAAAGAATTACCAAAGAGTTTGATTCATAAAAAATGGAAATAATTTCAAATTCTTTTTCTAAAATGGCATTTATTGTTAAGAAGGAAACAAAATATATGGTTTAGGAAGAAAAAAAAAAGAGTAGAGTTTTAAAATTTTCAAAAATTTAAGGTGTTATTTTAATTTTAGAAATTACTAATGAACTAAGTAATTTAGTGTTAATTTATATTTCTTAAGGGATGTTCCATTAATTAATAGTTTCAATCTCTCTATATTGGAGATCTTAATTTCAAATTTTAGAAAAAGTGCTAAGGAATTTAAAACTGGAAAAATTATTTTTTGTTGTATATAATTCATCATCTGACATATGAAAAAATTCAGTAATAATTTCTTTTTAATTGAAATAATAAATTTTAAATTTAAATCATATAACATGTAAATGAAATTTGTTAAAAATTTAAGAGATAGAAAAAATGTTATTTTATATTAGGAGACTTAAAATAAAATAAAAAAAAGTGAAAGTTTTTAACAACAAAATTGATAAGTTTTTTGTGTTAGTAAAACCAATACTTTATAAAGCTATAATCATATACCAGTATAGTAAAGGCCTGTTGACATCCTTTAATTTCAAAAAGTTTTAATCCTGAAATTCGAACTCTTGCAATATACTGTTTTTTTTTTCTTTCACTTTTAAGGTATTCCATATATCCACAACGAGGAAGTAAAAAGAAATGAAATAGAAAAAAAAAAAAATCAATCACATTGAACATAAGAAGGGAAGGTTTCTTTTTCTATGTTTGTAGCCAACCTTAAAAAAAAAACAATCCTTAATTTTTGGGAAATTACACGACTAATTGGCCACCTATTGATTTCATTACATCCCACCGACCTTCTGTCCGAGTCAAGTTCTACGTGTAAACGGTGAGAGTTCAAATTCAAGCATTAATTGTTAAGATTCTGTACCTTAAATTGATATCTTAATCCCATAATTATGGAAATAATAAAATCAAGTAAAGCATATTTCCCCTCTATATAACCTAAAGAAACTCCATTACTATATTCAATCTTCTGAAGTAGCTTGAGGGAAGGAAGGCATTCAAAGTTTAAGGTAACACTCTGCTCTTTATAGTAAAATCTCTGTTTTTGCTTTCTCCCCTGCCTTTAATGTTCTTTCCCCTTCCCCTTTTGTTGTGTTTATAACCCTTCCTTCCATCCATCCTATGTTTTATTACCAGTTTTGTCATCTTTCTTACATCATAGGGTTTCTTGTTCGAAAGGGGAAGTAACTCAAAAATTCTTTGAATCCAAACATACCCAGATGACTTAGAACAAGTTTTTTCTGAAAACAGTTTGAAGCTTGACGTTTTCCTTTGAATCCAAACATACCCAGATGGCTAAAAAGAAATTTTTTTGAGAAAAGTTTGAATCTTGATATTTTTTTTTTCTAACATGTTTGTCTTAAACTAGAATTTTCAGACATAATGGGTCGGGGAAAGCTGAGTATGGAACTGATAAAGAATGAGAAAACTCGAGTTCTGACTTTTAGGAAGAGACTGAAGGGACTGATGAAGAAAGCTCATGAATTTACCACTCTTTGTGGCGTTAAGACCTGCATGATCATCTACGGGCCGCCCAAACTCAAGGGCACACCGGCAACGGTCGATATTTGGCCGTCCGATTCTGCTCAAGTCAAGGCTGTTATTCACCAGTACAAGGAGGCGGTGGCATTGTCTGATTCCAGAGGGAAGAAACCCTTCAACTTGGTTGACTTTTTCGCAGTGCGCCGGAGGATGATCAACGACGAGATTTCCAAGCTGCGGAAGGTTAGCTTGGAGGCCAAGTATCCAATTAAGGATGATCTGATTAAGAATCTATCAATGAATCAAGTTAGGCTTCTGAGTTCTAAATTTGATTTGAAGATTGAGGCGGCCAAGAGGAAACTGAAGACGATGAAGAGGGATCGATATTTGATGGAAATAGAAGATCCCAAATCAGGAATTATACCAAATTTCTCTAATTTTCAGGGGAATTTGGATTTTGAAGTTGCAAAACCAGAATTCAACACCCAATTGACTCCATACCAGCCCTATGATGAATCCCTCCAAATTCAACCATTCGGGTATGATGTCAACTCGGTGGAGCATCCGATGATGACGCTGCTGATGAACGGTGAGCTAGCTCCCGGAATGTCCAGCAGCAGCGGCAGCAACAACAATTTCACGCAGAATGGACTAATTCCATTCTCTACTCCTAGCCATTATCAAGATCCACCATCGGCAGCCGCCATGCTAGATAGCAATGCGGCGTTAAATAATAGTTGGGCAGTTCCTCTTCGATTCATTGGGCCTCCGATGCAGCCAACGCCAGTGCAGTATCAAGTAATGGCCAGTTTGCCTTCTCAGTCGCACATTCCTCACTTCGGGGACTATTTTCGGGACATGAATGACTTTGCAACCAAGGACAAGCAACTCAGGTTTTAGTGTTCCATTATTTTCAATTAACGGTAGTTGAAGTCAACTTCTGAATTTGAACTGCTTAATTACATTTAAATTTGGTATTTTAATACTTAGTTTTTTTATGTTCATTTAATACTTTGTTTAGTATATGTATTTATTAATTAGACATTTTTATATATATGGAGTCCTTACGAAGTTATGTTTCAAAACATTTGACGTTTTGAGAAGTTGCAAAGGTAAATAAAGTAGCTGATAGCCTTAATTACTTGTAAAAATTTATAAGATTGAAGTTACTAAGCCCCAACAGTTAATCAATCTCATTTTAGCCAAATGTCATGATTTATTACACAAAATCGCAATCTAATGAACATTTTTCAGTTTGTGGGTTTGTTCGTGG